CCCCAAAACCCCAAAACCCCTTCTATAAAATTTATTGAGGCTTCAGGATGAAATTTTAATTATGAAATTAATTTATATTAAAGGCAATTAAAATCATTTCAACCTTATCTTCTGAGAATTTAATTATTCCCTTAACTTCATTTAAAACTGTGGGCTTAGACTACTGGTCTTATTGTAGTCCTTTGATTGTTAGTTTATAAGCTCGATTATGATCTTAAACTATCATAAAGCATGTTTGACTGACTCTCAATTTTCATGAGATTTCTTTTTATAGACTCTAATTTATTGACAGGCTTGAGTAGTTGATTTTGTGTTTGATGAGTGTGAAGTGAGGCAGTGGACAAAGGCTTGCGGAATTCATGACCAGTCTTAAATCTCTTAGGTTCTCCGTGCAGTAGATTGTTAATCTTTATCTCTTCATTACTTGAGATTTATTCGTACCTAACAGATTTAATTGTAAACTTGAAAGTATAAAAATTAGCTTACTTTCTTTTTTTGTTTGAGAAGTTGTTTAGATTCTCAAAGTTCAACTGCTTTGTAGTCTTTACAGGAGAAACTGGATTGCTAGTGCCGCTTTTGAAATTTAGCTTTTATTAAACTTAGGATCCTCTTTGGCTTTAACTTTGCAAAATCTCCTTCTTCGTCTTGTAAGATAGAGTTGTTTATTTCCCCTGAGAAATAGCGATCTATTGCTGATGATTCTAATGAAGCATGATCTTTAGATCTTGAATGATCTGGCGTTCTAAATTTATTCTCTTATCCTTAGGAAGGTTCAGGATATGCTTTGCTTCATTTTAGTGTTAAACAAACAATCTTTTTGAATTTAAATTCTGTGAGTTGTCTATATCTGGTTTAGACAGCGATTTGTAGCATGATCTGGGTAAAAGTTTCAAAAGAGGATTCATTGACATTTTAATTGCGGTATTATGATGAGAACAGAATTATAAATTTATTAAGTGGAAGTTAGTAATAAAATAAAATGATATTCAGCTCTTTAGTTTAATCACCCTATAAGAATAAACGTAAACATTAGCGAACTTACACCAACTCAGAACTACAAGTAGTTCAATAAAGAGGTGGAGACCCAAACAGCAAAATAGTGATCTAAGCACCTCAATAAAACAATGAGTGCAATTCTTCTCTAAGCATGTACAACACTATACAAGGCTTTCCAGCAGACCCACCCTAAATAAGATCCTTTTACTATAAACCACCTTCGCTGCCAAAGCTTCATATTGGTTAGAGCTCAATGAAGGAACCTTCCTAAACCAACACTAGTCTCACCTTTTTCAAGCAAAGATTCAATCAGCACAGTGTTAAAGAGCTAAACACATAGAAAAGGATAGAGGATTTGAAGAACAAGTTCAACATTAACCGATTTATTGTCAGTCCAGCCAATAAAAACCGTGAAACTGCTTTTCCCTAGAAGAGAGTATCCCTAATCTGCAATTAAATGCTCCTAGAAGAAGAACGAAACATTTTCAAAAAGAAAAGACCTGTAGGCAGCATAGATATGAGTTATTAATAAAATAGCCAATCTATAATTCAACAGTAATAGCAAGAGAGTTAAATTGGTACACCATAGCAAAATCAAAAGCGCCTATCTTAATTAGAAATAAATCATAAAGCAATATAGATGAAAAATCCGAATTCAATTATAAGATAAAAAAGAGGATAATTTTTCAATGCCCCTCTACTAACAATTCATTAACATACTAGATTCATAACTCAAGGAGAAGAATTTTAAAGTTATCTACACATTAAGAAATGCTAGAGTCAAGATGAATTTGAGAAACATAAGTCGCCATTTAAAAAAATCATGACTATGAAAATAGATAACATCAGCAACCTAAAGCAAATGATGATTAATCCCTTTATGGATATGCAGGACTTGAAATTCAACATAGTCAAGCAAAAGAATAATTTTGGCATCGAAAGTAGTGCTAGCAATTCTCGCAGAGGAGGACGACCTAGATTTAAAAAAAGCATTACACTCAGTAATAATCAAAAGGTCAGGTTTAGTCTTAAGGGTATTTACATGTCAATTATTGATTCAGATGGGAATATTAGACAGAAAATAAAGATGGATGTAGAAAAATCATTCAAAGTTATGCTCTTTCCTGAATAAGAATTGAGCTAGTAAATTTTTGAAGAATTGTTTTACAAGGATGGGAAACTACAAATAGACCAGGATAAACTTATTAAGAATCTATACTCAAGGTACCAATTAAATGAAACTAGGTAGAACTATAGAACTATCTGTGGAAGATTAGTGATTGATAGGCAAGATTTTTATGTTAAAATAAAGTAATCCTTATAAACAACTTAAATTCAATTTAGAATGCCTTATGTCAAAGTTTATGATTCAAAGTTGGGAAGGACTATGATATTATATCTTGATTTAAGCATCGTATTAGGTCTTATATAAAATGGAATAGATTTATGGCACTAATAGGTAACCTTTTAATAATCTAATGAAATATAGGTAAAAGCTATGATTGACTTCTACTATAATTAATTGGATTAGGTTAAGGACATATTCAAAAATAAATACAAAATTAAGAATTAAAAAATCTATCCTATCCAATCAAAGACATATGATTACATGATAGAAAATCTGTCTACTAAGCCATATATGCTTTTTAAAAGATTTTCAACTTAAATCATGATCATCATCTACAAGAACTTTTAGTATGAACTCAATGATGAATTAGGAACTCTGATCGGGAAATTGGAATGCCCTATAAAATATGTCAACGATATGCTAAAATATCAAAGGTTTTAAGGTAATCTTTCAGAAAAGGTAGCAGAAGAGTTAATAATTACGTTTGATGATAACAAGAAGGCTTTTAAAATCGAATGTGACCTTAGCAAAGTCTAGACTGAACAAATTGGAGAGGCATTTTTCAAATCAGTCTCAATAAACCCTTACTTCATTAAAGAAACAGTTTCCATTTCATATAGCTAAAATAAGACATTTTAATTGTTATTGAAGCCTGCCTAGGTTAAGTACATAACGAATGAAACATAAACTCTGCTTGAACTAAAATTCGACTAGGTTCACAATCTTTCGAAACAGAATTTCATTAATTGGGAGAAATTCATTCCAAAGATAAGCCCTAAATGAAGCTTAATTATTTAGATTAATCCGAATTTCGTTAAATTAATTTAATCATTAACATTCATCTTAAATATTAGCTGCTGGGGTTTTGGGGTTTTGGGGTTTTGGGG